GAATAGGAATAGGAATAGGAATAGGAATAGGAATAGGAATAGGAATAGGAATAGGAATAGGAATGGAACGGAACGGAACGGAACGGAACAGAACAGAACAGAACAGAATAGAATAGAATTCTTTATTGGCCAAGTGTGATTGGACACACAAGGAATTTGTCTTGGTGTAAATGCTCTCAGTATACATAAAAGAAAAGATACATTCATCAAGAGTCAAGAATCATAAGGTGCAACACTTAATAATAGTCATAGAGTACAATAAGCAATCAAATCATACTAGGAAACAGTCAAAGGACTGAACTTTAATTCTGCCATCTCAAGATAAGAACCTTTTAACCAATCATCAGAGTTATCAGAATCCTGATCAACACTCTTCCTAGGTATCTTTATACAAAAATAAAAAGAATAATTTCTAGTTTAGTCTCTATGTGTATCAAACTACTGACATTGATTTATAAAGTAATCTGATAGGACACCAGACATCCATAAAATAACAGATTTGAGATCGTTTCTGTCTGATTAAACAACCTATTTTCCATATAAAATAGCATCAGCTGGCTTCCTCAGTTCTGTGCCAATCAATATTTTCACATTTCTAATCATGCATATAAGAGGGCTGAATGCCAAATTAAAAGGAAAAAAGAAGCCATATCCTTCATGTGTATCGCAGTGTAAAGTTTATTAAGTAAACTTTATTAAGTAAAGACACAGTTAATAACCACATGTGATTTTAAAAACTGAATAAAACATGTTGATCCAGAGCATAAACTCTGGGGGGAAGCTAATAAAAATCCATTTTGAAAACTTTTAAGGAGTTATATCAACTTTTCCCCCCAGAAGAAAATAATGACTTCTGGATTTTATCAACTTTGTGTTAATGCAAGTATATCAATTATACATAGTAGCTGGATGAACAAACCAAACTATGGGCCAAGAAACCTTTGTAATTTGGAGAAGAGTGGGTGACTGTTAATAGGATTTGTGTACATCAGCCTTCCCAAACCTGGCAACCTTTACAAGTATTCTTACTGTCATGCTGGCTATGTGGTCTGGGTTCTGTAGTCCAAAATATCTGAAACGTGCCAGGCTAAAGAAAGCAGTTATAGAAAAAAGTCCAGTGGAAATGCTGTAACCGATTTAGAAATGCCACATTTATATCTCGAAGCTGAATATCTATCATACATGGTATTTTGCATATCTTCAACAATGAACTTTGAGATGTAGTATCTATATGGAGATAGAAAGAACGTATCTATTTTAAATGATAGAATGATCCTTCCAGCTAAAAGATATGGAGTGGAAATATTTTATTGGCACTGCCTTTTGTTCTTATGGATCAAATTTGATAAATAGAATTGTTTTGTCTGGCTTGCACTTTGGTTCCTTGTACAAATTAACATGGAACAAAGCAGTTGCTGAATGAGTTTATTTCTTTAAAAAAATACATACACAGCCATTTCTTTCTTTATTGGCAAATCTATAATAATAAGTTACATTGGTGTTCTTCCTATATCAGACTGAAGAAAACATTCCATCACTGAAAGACAAAAACTGCCAAGAACACTTAAAATATATGAAAAATATTGAATGGGTTACCTCACATTTATTTTCTAGCAACATTGATAGAACAAAGAAACTGCTGCTCTGAATCAATGTTTATGCTTCTATTTGTAATAAGATTGGAAATAAGGAGAAAAATTCAGGTTAGGTAGAACAATATAAAAGAAGGAATATAGAGCAGGAGGAAGATCAAAATTTGTAAACCAGAAAATATGTTTGTATGTAAAGTTATTGTACTTAAAATGATTTCCCAACGTATCTGTTCAGTCCTCCTTTATTTCAAAGGGTGTTTGCCAAAACAACAACATATTGTGGTTCTTGATGATTTACTTATATTTAATTCAACCTTTCTTATATGTGTTCAGCACCAGTTGCTGTTGCTCTAGTTCAGATCAGTTCAGATCAGTTCAGATCAGATAGTCTCATCCCTGATTGAGAAAAATAAAAGAAACTAAAAGGGCAAAATCATTCAGTGTTCTTATATCCATTCTCAAAAATTAGTTCACCAAAGTCTGGTGAGAATTAATAATTTCAGCTATATTTATGTTTGCTTGTTTATTGTTGCATATGTCGTCCTAGGAGTTTGTGTTCCCCCCCAAAATTACCCAACTCCTGTTTTCCTGTGTTTTCTTCTAGGCTGGACAGCAACGCTGGTGGGAACAGGAAATTACTGTGAATGGGAAGATCCAGAAAGGAGAATTAATAACCTACAACTTGACAGAACTCATCAAGCCTGAGGCTTATGAAGTTCGCCTGACACCAGTCACTATTTTTGGAGATGGAGATGCAACCATTCGTGTAATCAAGTACAGTGGTAAGGAGAGAAATCAGAATTTTTATTTTGCAAGAGAGACAGAGAGAGGAGAAAGAGAGAGAGAGAGAGAGGGCTTGGGAACATAAATCCCAAAGTCTGACTTCCAGCCTTCCAAACCTTGATGGGAGAGGTTGGGACATCTTGGATTCTTACAGGGCTCTACTCTAGTCTGAAAAATTGTCCCTCCTATTAGTTTTTTTTTTTAATATTGTTAATGTGCAAAACAGAAGCAATCAATTTCTAGAACAATTTGTCTTTTATGAATTGGAACTCTTATAATCATGCATGCATATTCATGTCAGAGTAAACAATTAAATCATTCATAAGTCTATTATTATATTAAAGTATAAGTTGTTCAATTAAAAATGGGAATTAAATATGTAAACTTGTCCATGGAATTCACATTTCCTAGCAGTCTTTGAAGCACTATCTGACAGGAAAATGCTCAAATAAGGAAATATTATATATAATATACATTATACTATATGCTGTTTCATACATTATTGTTGTTTTTGTTCACTAAAATTCTCCCTTGCTTTTTTTAGGAGCTCATGAAATTCATTCAACCTTGACTTTCTCAGTTTTTATTGTTGTATCTACCCAGTCATTCTTTCTTCATTGGTTTTGCTATACTGTCCTTGTTAATTTTGTCTATATTGGAAACTGCTAGATATATCTTTGTACTGTCCCTTATTTTAGTATTCAATTCATATTTATTGATTACACATTCATTCTTAACCCAATTTATTCTTATTTTACCACACACACTTCTTAAGTATCTCATTCCCACTGCATCGGATTTACTTTTATCTTTGTGGAAAGAAACCCAACTCTCATTCCCATATAACAAAACATGCTCTTAAACGTTGTCTTTTTCATTTCTTTGAACATACCCTCTGCATGCTAACTTTCTAACAGCACTTTCACATTTTAAAATTTATCCTTCTACTTTGCTATTTTTATAAAACCTTCTACACAAATTCATCTACTCAGTGGTGGGATTCAATTTTTTTTACTACCGGTTCTGTGGGCGTGCTTGGTGGACGTGGCAGGGTAAGGATACTGTAAAATTTTCAGTCAAAAGTGGGATTTGCCAGTTCTCTGAACTACTCAAAATTTCCGCTACTGGTTCTCCAGAACTGGGCAGAACCTGCTGAATACCACCTCTGCATCTACTTCATCTGTCCGTCCAGATCAAAACTTGCAATTGGTTACCCCATTTTCCCTATTAAACACAGATTGTATCTTTGATACATTAATTTTTAGATCCACATTACATCATGCAATCTAACATTGAAAACCATTTTGATTCTCAGCATTCACTTCCCCAACTACTTATGTCTTTAATATCACCATAAGCATTATTATATAGCCAAGAGGATATTGCACATACTTCAGAAAGTAAGTTAGAAAGGAATTTAGGCTTGAAGAGGAAACTAAAAGGAACAAAAAAGGGTCTTTTAGCTCTATCAATATAAAAAAAGGGATGAGCATGCTGCTAGGAGAGTATGATGGGACAATAAGAGGTGATAGAGAACATACATGGCTTTGCAATTCCTATTTTGTTTCAGAGTTCTCCCCAAAGGAGATACTGTAGTTCTGTGTTCAAATGAAATTAAGTGGTAGGGGATTTTAGGTAAATAAAAAAGTGTTTAGGAAACACTTTGGTACCATAAAGAGGCTAAGTGTCCAGATTGAAACAAATTACATCTGATAGCCCTGAAGGGGCTGGTGGATGTCATTCTGAAGTTCTTTTCTATAATCTCCAAAAAACTATGTGAGAATGGATTTAGTATCAAATGACCAGAGAAGGTCAAATATTTCTGCCTTCCAATGGGAAAAAAGAAGTTACTGATAATTACAAACTGGTCATCTTCTTGATGTTGACCTGCTAAAGAATAAAAATCTTGTTTATGCCTTGTCTGTCTTGCTGCAAAAACTGCATTGATCTTCCCAAAGTTTGCTTATTGTCTCTCGTTTTTATCAATTTTTGCCAGACCTCTTCCCAAGCATACTTGGGAATAATTTATTTTTAAATTTATTTTTCATTACTATTTCTCTGCCACCACATTCCATATTTCTCTTCCAACACATTCTATTTCTCTGCCACCACATTCAAATCACTAATGTCATTGTACAATTTGTTTCCAATTTTGTTATTTTTCCTCTTTGTTTATGAAAACAATCATGGTATTCTTTCAGTTGTCAAGAACAGAAAGCAATCTGCATGCATATATTAAACAAGTGATTTTCTAAATTAGGTAACAGCAGATTCCAGCATTAAATTATCAAGTTAACCCTTGAAAATGAGGCATTTTTGCAGTGGTTAATAATCAAGAATATATCAACCCATCTTAAAACAATAGGGGGGGAAACAAAGGGCCAGCCCTATTCCATGTTTGTTTGGGTATGCACTTTCTCTCCAGGAACTTATCAGAATTTGAAGTAGGTCTGTATCTGTATGTGTGTATGTGAGCATCTAGGAAAGCCTAACTAGGATGGATGCATGATGCTTCTGCATTGCAACTGTCTGTTTCAACTCTTTCCTCATGTTGCATCTCTATGTTAATGTGGATCTCCATAGTGGAAAATGCAGAATAAGACAGCATTTATCCTACTCTGGGTGACATGACCAGTAGGAAAGATGGTTTAGAACAGGGGTGTCAAACTCATGTCATCACAGCTATGTCATGTGACATATCGGGACTTTTTCCCCCTTCACTAAACTGGTGTGGGTATGGCCAGCATGTGACACATCTGGCCTGTGGGCCAGAAGTTTGACAGCACTGGCTTAAAATAAAGCAATTAGTGGACCATCTGGGCCATTACTCAATTAGCCAACCATAGTGGCAACTCTAAAAAGACATAGATGTGTTTGTGTTTGGTATTGTGTTTCTGGAACTGTTTTTCTCACAATTCCAAGTTTTGCTCCATTTCTGAATTCTTGCTTTTCCTAACTTTTCTCTCTACACCAAATCTGGTCCTGTTGTTCCAATTTCTGGAGAAACAAAATCCGGAACAATTTTACATAGTTTCTTTTCCACATTATATTTCTTTGGAAAGAATCAAAAAGTGTATTACTTCAACATTTTTTTTAAAAAAAAACAGCAAATCAGACCCAAAGGGAAAAAAAAAACTTTCAATATAATGAGATTCTTTGAACTAGTATATTTCTTGATAATAAAAGATTAGAAAACTTGTTCTTGGTTGGTTTATTCCAAGAACAGAAGACTTGACTTAATATTCCTCTTGAGTATGAATATTAAAAATATGGGCGATTAGAAAGAATTTGCTTTTTAATTTAACTTCTCTCTTTTCAATACTGCTGATGTAAATGAGTAAGTAGAACAATCTTAAAGGCTTTACTACTTAAGAAACATCGGTTACAATTTTAATTTTCCAATCTTCTGCTTAGAGCTCATGCTTGATGTAAATAAATAAAAACTGAGAGGAATGTTGATCTCAAACACAAGTGTGCATATCCATTATATTTAAAAGGAATTCATTAGATGCTTAAGTCCTAGTATTTTCAATACAGATGGGAACTAAGTTACAAATTTTACTATTTTTTTTCACGTTGATTAGAAACCTGGATTTTTGCAAAGCTCAAACCATGATCCTGTTCAGGGCCTCTGGATCTGCTGGTGCACATAAGCTTAAGACTTTCCTTTCTATTTTTTTTTATTAGTTTATAATATAAAATACAAAAGAAATAGGGGAAAAGTAAGGGAGGGAAAAGGGAAGGGAAAAGGGTGCAGTGGTGTCAAACTGGTGGCCCATTGGCTGGATGCATCATGCACAGGCCACGCCCGCCCCAGCTCCACAAAGGCAAAACATGTCATGATACGTTATGTGACATGATTGAGTTTGACACTTGCAGTGTAAGGAAAAAGGAAAAGAAAGAAAGAAAAGGCGTTGTCTTCCCCAACTTCCTTTGGTGCAGTAAAATAAGATAATAGCATCAAACCTTTTGCATAATAATATAAACTAGCCATTTCCATAACAACAATAGCAATAGAAATAGCACTTAGATTTATATACCACTTTACAATGCTTTACATCCCTCTCTAAGCAGTTTACAGAGTCAGCCTATTGCTGCAAACAATCTGAGTCCTCATTTTAGCGACCTCGGAACGATGGAAGGCTGAGTCAACCTTGAGCCTGGTGAGACTTGAACTGCCAAATTTCAGGCAGCCAGCAGGCAGCAGATGTAGCCTGAAGTAATGCACTATAACCACTGCACCACCACGGTTCATACATGTCTAACTGGTAAAATCCCTTTCTGTTACACTCCAGGATTTCTTTTCCATTCTGCCTGATAAGACAGCCTTTCCAGACAGAAAAGGGAGAAAAATCTGACTGTAATTTAATAATCAGTTCTCATAAAACAGACAACACTGAATAGCCACCCCAAACACTCCATATGCAGGCTATACTACGTTTTACCATTTCTGAAGTGCTGTGATCTAAACTTACAGACCTATTATTTTTTCAACAATCTTATAGCTTCCCACTTGACACATTTTTCTTTGGCCACTGACATTGTAGAATCTGTTTCAATTCTACTTGTTTTTATAATTAAGCCTATAACTTTAATTTCCTATATGTATTAACCCATTCCATTCCATAAGATCAGAGCCACTTAGTTCAGGTCTTTTGTATCCTTCTTTTTAGTGTCCATTTATTGACTGCCCATCATGGCTTGAGTCCATTGAAGTTTTCACAAAGCATTTTACTATTAAGTAAAACTACATTGTGAGATTTATCATACCTGACAGAATAACACAGTAGGAAGGACCCTTGAAGGTCTTCTAATCCACCCTCCTGCTCAAGCAGGAAATCCTATACCATTCCAGACAAATGGATATCCAGACTCTTCTTAAAAGCCTTCAGTGATAGTACAACCACAATTTCTGAAGGCAAGCCATTCCACTGGTTAATTGTTCTCAATGTTAGGAAATTTCTCCTGAGTTCTAGATTGCTTCTCTCCTTGATTAGTT